GGATGTAACAAAGGCACGTCCCCATCTAATGAGTTAGAAGATAGCTTGTCACCATAGTCTATAAACATTAATTCCAGAAATATATCTAGAAGTTAGACCAGAGACTGGGAAGCTGACATATGTAAGGAAGAGAAATGTGAGAAAACAAGTCAGGAATTTCATAACAGGATTTAGGGTAGGAGTATGAGTCAGCAATGAAAATTAAGGCCAGAAACTGGGGCTTAATCTATCTGTAACATCTTGAGGTCTCTGAGAGGAAAGACTTGGTGTCTGCTGGTTTGTTGTAGTTTGAACCTTTGGATGTGGCTGACTTCGTGCTTCCTCAGATCTGATGATTGGCTGCCCCAGGATCAATCATGTAGTTAGAATATCACTGTAAAAACAATGCAGTTGTAGGATGAGTAAGTGCTGAGCGTGCAGTTGAGTTTAGTGGTTATCTAGCAATACTGGGCTCAATTTTCTGATTCCAGAAGTCTTATTTGTTTATCCACCAGCACTTAGACTGGCACAGTTGTGTTGCCAGGCACTACACCTGAATTATTCAAGAGTTGCCTGTAGCTCAAAAACTACACATGGCTCCTTCAGTAATATGATTCATAGCTTTGAAAAAAGAAAAAAAACACTTAAACTACAATTGGTAGGCTCTATAGAAAAAGACCAATTAAAAAGTTCTCATTTGCCAAAATCAATACTTCAGCTATACTATAGAACAATGAAAATTAGTGCATGGAGGGGGTGTTAACATTTTACTTTTTGTACTTGATTTGAATTTCCAAGGCTAATGGAACACTTTCCACCCACATTTCATTTGGTTTCTCTTGAAGAACATTTTAATTTCTCAAAATCATCCCATTTCCCTTTGACGAGAACGTTTATCCTCTCGTTTTCGTTTCAAAGAACTACCCACCCAGAGCTTTCTGCAACAGGTAGTTCTCCAAAAGATGTTTCTGAGAGGCTGATGTCTTTCCCTTGAGGCTTTTACTCCCCGATGTTCTCTACTCTCACATAGCAGAGAGTAGCCCTGGATGCATATTAGATTTGCTTGTGCCTTGGTCAAATCTGCATTGTTAATGAGTATGTGGAAGAACTTTTTTTTCCTTCCCATTCTCTAGGTATCTTGAAGTGTGATGTAGACTTAGAGAAGCATCAAGTTTATACTGTTTCTTCCAGAATCTGTTTAACTTGTTTAGGGTTCTGTTACTGGTACAGAAATTATAAAAATTATTATTTTTTTTATTATTAAAAAAATTATTAATTATAAAAAAAAAGCAGAGTTCTCATTTTAATTTTGGAGTTTCCTCTTGTACTATCATTTTTTTTTTTTTTTTTTTTTTAAATATGAGTGACTTAGTGGTTACAAGCACATTGCTGCATGTTGGGGACAGCCATTATTTGTATAGTTAATTTTAAATAGGAGAGCTTGAAGATTCCAGGTGCTTTCTGCTGCATCTAGAAATAATTCTTTTGCCTATCTTCATAAGATCATTGTAATTAACTTATACTATTTCTGAAAGACATCATGTGGAAAAAAATCCCAACAAATAAACAAAGCAAAACAACAAGAAAAAAGAACAAACACCACCACTCTGCAGAATACTATACTACATGGAATACTAGTATAGCAACCAATGACTTTCAGCTTTGCACTTAAATAAGACTGCTTGGCAATTGCCTGATGATTTGTTGTTGCGTTGCTCTTGGTGTTAGGTTTGATAGTGACTGGAAGACTTCAGGTAGCTTACAAGAAATTATTCATATTCTTAGTAGTTTAGTCACTGATCATGTGATATCAGTGTTCTATGATTCACTTCTTATGCTTTTTAAATGGTACACCAGATGACAGAGTTGGAACCTGATGATAAAGAAATGCTTATAAGATAAATGCCTTTTACACCTAGGAAAAACGAATTTCTTTCTTGCAAAATTCAGCTCAAGATCTTCCTGGCATTCTTCCTGTTGCTTTAGAATTGCATTCATATGTAGGAAGGTCTCAGGACCATGGTACTGCCTATAGAACGTTTCCTAGTGAGTGCATTTACCATAAGCTTGGGGTTGTAGTGAAAAATAGGTAGTTTGCTCTTAATGCCTTATTAGCTTTTGGATACTTATATTCTTATAATTATTCCAGAAAGAAGTGATAGTTCAGTTATATTTAAATCACAGATTGGAGGAAGCAACCAGTTGGATCATGCATAAGAATGGCTGATAGACCTAGGTTAGGATGTTCTTACTTTTGTGTTTTCTGATTCTCACCTATGAAATGGAACTCTGGTAACTGTAAATTCAAGTGACCTTGTGTTGCTGTTTAAATAAAGTATTCAGTTCTGTATTTCTTTGTATTCTCATGCATGTAGTTAAAGACTGGAAAAGTATATTCAGTTCCTACTACCTTGTTTGCTTCAGAGAACTTTTATTAAAACATCTTAAGGGCATTTACAGGAGAAAAAAAATTGTACCTTACAGACTATTTATATTTTTCTGCAGCGAAACAAATCTAAGGCTTATGAAGTATTTTGCAGCACTCTATTAAGGTAAATCAACTAACTGAAACACACCCATGCTACTTTGTTTAGTAGTCGCTCCGGTTTTTGCTCAGCAGAGTATGTGGTTAGAAACACATATACAAACGGAAATCAAAATGAGTCTCAGACTTAAACAAAAAAAAAACAAAAAAAAAAACCAAACCTTGTGGAGGTTCAAGAGAATGCTGTAGAGGCATTCAGAGAGACTCTCCCAAGTGAGTCAGGAAAACCCCATAATCACCTTCCCTATTTGCACAAAGATAGTTTACCATAGCTTTTGTAACTTCCTTACACACAGTTATGTTTGGCAGGTCAGCTCTCTGAAAAGAAATTGCCTGCTGGTCAGTGGCAGCTCTGAAACTGAGCTGGAATCTCTTCACACTGAAGGTCAATTTTTAGCTTTTATTGAATTAGGAATTTATGCAGTACAAATAGAAGAATCAGACCTGATGTTTTTCTCTTTACTAACATTATTCATTAATAGTGTACTCACGTAAAAAGCATTTCTTTTATAGATTTGGCAGGAAGGTTACATTAAATATTTGATAATAGTGATTTGTAAAATTATCTGCTGCTACAATCTCATACAGGTCTGCTACTTTGTGCTGAGCTGTACTGGGAACTGATAAGACTTTTGTCTGCAGTGCATGTTTTGTACTTGTGATGTACTAAAAAACAAAGCTTTTCCTAGTTCAGATTAAGCCTTTTAGTCATGGGCGCAGGGTAGGAATGGATAGCTTGAAGTTTAGTACTGTTTCATTGAGTGCAAAATAATTACTCTTTACTTTAACTACATCCACCTCTGATGTGAGGTAGCTGGATCTGGATGTTTTAAAGCATAAATTCACTTCTGTTGGGTGAGAAAATAAGCGTGTTGACCTAACCACTAATATTAGGTAGCATGTGCTGTTTTTTCCCCACACCTTTACAGTGCAGAAAAAAAGTATTTAAAACATCGTTAAAGAAGATCTAAGTTCAATTGGAAGCATGGTGCCATGTAATACTTATGGTAGAAGCCTGGAATATGCACAGATAGAAACTGTTGAGATAGACAGACTGTCTTTGTCAGCTGAAGGTAATCCATATTAAACACTTCTGAAAAGCAGATGATTTAAAAATAGCTGTACACAATTATATACATGCAGATAACTATTTTGGCTTTCAAGTTAAGTATATACAGAACTGCTTTTCTGGTTAAAAAAAATCTGTTGGATGAAGGGCCCCATCAGAAGAGGGGTGGCCAGTAGGGGCAGGGAGGTGACTGTTCCTCTCTACTCTGCCCTCATGAGGCCCTAACTGAACCATTGCATCCTGGTGTGAGGCCACCAATACAGGGAGGACATGAATCTGTTGGGGAGGGTCCAGAGGGCCACAAAGATGACTAGAGAGCTGGAGCACCTCCTCTACGAAGGCAGACTGAGGGAACTGAGCTTGTTCAGCGTGGAGAAGAGAAGGCTGCTAGGAGACCTTTTTGCAGCCTTCCAGTACTTAAAATGGGTTTATAAACAGGAGGGGAATAAGCTTTTTGCTTGGGTAGCAAGTATTGTACTAGCAATAGAACAAAGGGGAATAGTTTTAAGCTCAAGAAGGGAAGGTTTAGATTAGATGTCAGGGTGAACTTCTTCATAAAAAGACTGGTGAGGTATGGGAACAAGCTGCCCAGAGAAGCTGTGGATGCTCCATCCCTAGAGGTGTTCAAGATCAGCTTGGATGGAGCCCTGTATAGCCTTGGCTAGTACCAAATCTGGAAGTCGGAGTCGGTGGATCTGCCTGTAGCAGGGGGGTTGGACCTTGGAGTCCCTTCCAACCTGAGCCATTCTATTTTGTAAAATTTGGTATGGACCTCTGTGTGCTATATTTAAAAGCATTTTAGTCTTCTTAAAAACATTTGGAATAATAAGACAAATTCTAGAGAATTTAATAAACATTATGATTCCTGATGTCCCAGGCTTTATTTGCAAATTCCATATTTCTCCAGCAAAACTTACACAGCAGCTGTTTTAATGCCTAAGCTATTTATATTCCATTAAGAACAGAAATATTCTGTAAGTAATAAATTAAATTATGCGAGAACATGAGTATAAACTTTGGTTTCTGCTTTAAAACTAGGAACTTACAATAAAAATCAAAAGACAGATGAAGAAATTTTTTTGAAGCACGACCTGGATGCTTATTCACCAATGTCAATTTTTATTTCATATTGATCTATTACTTGAACTTCTGTATTATCAATGCCTTTTTTTTTTTTTTTTTTTCCTGGTCAGTAGTCTTTCCCAATCTGTCTTCATCTGACTGCATTTTCTTATGTCATTGCTCAAGAGCCCTGACCCAACTGTTTTCCAGTATAAGCAGCAGCCTGCTTCTCTCATCTCTACAAAGAACTGTGGATAGTTAATAGGGAATATATTAATTGTATTTATAGCAAAGGACTAGTTCCCCATCTGTGACTTTGTGGGAAACTAGATTTATACTTCAAAATAATGATTGATGCCAACTATGTACCTATTCCTTGAAAGGAAAACAGTCTACAGTGTAGCTCTTCCACGTTACTACCAAAAGGCCCTAGACTTTTAAGGATGTGCCTGTAGTTGGTAACAGAGAATTTGTATGCTTTCATATCAGCTTAGTTGAACCATACGCTAAGCTAAGTGCTCTGTATTTCTCGAGTAGTGAATGCACTATCATGACTGTGAAACTCAGTTAAGATCTGAAAACAAATCTGGAAGGATTGGTAAAGAGCACACATCTCTAAAAGTATCTGCAGCTGCTCCAGTTAGAGTAAACCTGTCACTCTAGTGAAAGTATAGAATAACACTACAGAGATTGGTCTCCTGGAATTTTATGATCTTTCTTTCTGTAGGTACAGGATGGTTTGGATGTTATGTTTTGAATGCTCTGCTTTAAATTCTACATTGACTGTAACTGTTCACAGGAGGTTTTTTGCTAGCTCCAAATGGGAGTCAAGTGCAACTTATTCTCCTAACTCTTCATTGCTGCCTCTGTCAGTATATTAGACTGAGGCTATAAGCAGAATTGCCTCTTATGATGTAGCTGTAACTACAGAAAGTGGTCTCTCACATTCATTGTCAAAGATGACTTGATATATAAAGTTTCTGTTCTGGTATAATAATGCTGAGTGGGTTGATGCCACAATCTACTGATCAGGAATTTTCTACTTGCCTTTCCTGAGGGTCTATCTGTCCATCATATTGATTTTCCTGTATGTATTTTGCTGCATGTATAGTATTGCAAACTATACATACCATTTCCAGAATATCTACATCAGTGCATGATAGATATCCAGCACATCCTCTGCTGCTAAGGGCTCAAAATGAGAGCTTAAACAGTAACTTCCTTGTAAACTACAGGCTTAGGTCATTCTGAATCACCTTCCTACCGAATTACATCTACTCTGCATGAAATAATTAAATTAGTCTGTTTGATGATGGAAAGATCAGGATCTCTAGAGAATTGAATATGTTGAAGGGAGACATCCAGATTGGTGCAGGTAGCAGTGTGAACCTAGCATTTGGTTGATGGCTTTCACTTTCTGGCCAATCAGCCTGGACTCAGGAACAGTATATTTTGTGTTACCTGCTGTAAGCATGAGTGAGAGGTTATTGCACTGATAAAGGGAAGAGAAAGCTTTTGGGGAGAGTAAGAACTATTGTTGAGTGAGTAGTAGGAAATAAATCAGGAGGAAGCTGCGCTTTTAGTTCTACTACAGATCTAATGTATTGTTTGGCAGGAAAGGCCTTGGCTTTGGGGTCCTCTTCATGTGTGTTACCCACCTGTATAAGGACATGGAAATTGTTTCTCAGTGGCTAACATGAATTATATTGTTTTATGAATGGGATGAGTTTAATATTCCTTTTTACTATATTGTGTAGTCTAAAAAATGGCTTTTTCCCCCTCTTGTAGTAGATACCACTTCATACACTGCAGATCTGCTGTTTTCACCTACCTCTTTCTTTTTGTGCTATCATGCATTGCTTCTGCATGCTGTTCTTGTTTCAGGTGGTAACTACATTTGTCTTAGTAGAGGAAATGATGCAAAAAGGTAAGTTTTGAAAGGACATAGAATTCTATTTCAAGTTACCTATTTTGTCTCAGGGCAGCCAGTGCAAAACCACCATTTGTTAATATTAACAGATCCAGTAGTTAAAATGTGTAAGAGAAATGGAAACTTCATAAAACATTAATACATTTAATGTCCTTGATCTTTTCCTAATATGGGAAAGAAGCACCCACAAAGCCCACAAGATAGATCTAGTCTAAAAACCTCCTTCAAGTTAAATCCTTGTAATGCACCGTTCAAGGAAATGCATTAGGATGTTTAGGTCCACCACAGAGTATGCGTTGGTTACCCCTGAAATTCTGCATACATTGTACCTCATTCCATGCATTTCTAGATGCACGTTTACTTCAGGATTACATGTCAGCTACACAAAAAAACCTGCATAATCGCTTAAGAATATCTCCATTCTGATGAATTCAGTCATGCCACTGACTGACATGGATCAGTAGCCTAATTCCTGTGTAACTCAATTCACTAATTTCTTAAGTGTTACATTCACCTGATCGTTATGTACAGCTATCTGAATATTTTGTTTTTGAAACAAAGCTGTTTTTCTTTGTTATCTCTCATCAGAAAAAAAAAAAAAAAAAAAGACAGACCTACTATGTCAGTAGCTAACTACCATCTTTCTAGTAGCGTGATAAACTGGCCTGCTGAGAACTAGGATTCTGAAGAGGCCTCTTCCATGTTTGTGAAGTCATATGACAATTTCAACATGAGTGCTCTTCCCCCCCCCAGATTTAGAAGGAAATTCTTATCAGAATAACCAGCTGCTAAAGATGATTCTGACCATGCATCAGTTTATCATCTCTTCTGCAGATATGCTCCAGAAACTCAGTGATCTATATCCTTTGCAATATTCACCTGCTCATAAGATAAAAATTAGATATGCTTGACTACTCTAAGATAGGTAAGTAGAGGATATTTAAGCTAGGAATACATTACTTTTCTGCTAATGAAACAATAGACTTTTTACTTTTTTTTTTTTTTTTTGTCTGTGCAGTGTGGCTTTTGTTTGTTTTAGGGTATGTGTTTTTTCTTTGTCTGGTTTAGCCTACAATCCACGTAGACAGAGATAAACTCCAGTTCAGAGTTTAAGTAGGATAAATCATCATCTATTGGCTGTGAAGGGATTATCTAACAAGTGTTAGATACTGCAAACCTGGAACTGCTACATATCTGTTTTTCCCATCCTCAGTACAAGTAGAGCAAAGCACAAAAGCATAGTTTTAGTAATATTCTAATGTTATCATCTGAAGACGACAATTCTCAACAAGTATTATTTCTCAGGCACTCACTCAAAATTATAGAGTATTTAAATCAAACTTTTTCCTCCTGATTTGATGCTATTCTAGGTGTCTGCTTGGATTCATATACATGTGATTTTCCTTAACATTTTCTACTTATCTTAGCGCTTTAGAGAAGAAGTCATCCGTGCTGTGTGTAAAGATATGCTATTTTGTAAGGTAAGAATACTCTTGCTTGATAGTTGTTAGTCAGCAGTTGTCTCTGTGTCACACAAAAGGATGGTTTTACAAATATTAAGATCACACCAAAAAGAAAGTTGCATTCCTTTAGCTTTTCAAGATTCACATTAGCAACTTGACAAAAAAAGAGACTCACACAGATCTATTGATATCAGTGCATGAATTATTGGGTCATACTTTTAGACTGATTCTGTATGGACTTGCTCCTTAAACAGCAGTAAGAATTGACAGTGCTCAGGAATCAAGAGCATTATGTCTAATATTATAGAGGTCTACTAAAAATAGAGTGGATATTGCAGCTACTGTTACGTAAAAAAAACTGTTTTATATGTAGGCAATTTTCCCTAGTAACTGTTCTGAGTCATTTGCAATGATCACAGACCACTTTTATTAAGCACAATAAAGTTTGAAATCTTAGTTTAGAGAAGTGTAGAAATGCACTCAGCAATAAAAATGGGAGTTAGACATCCTGAAGTAGCTGTAGCTTGACTAACAGCTGGGCTTTGGTCTGCTTGTAGGGAGATAATGAATGACTGCCTTTGCATTTATTTGGTGGTGGGTTTTTTTTTTTTGTTTTTGGGTTTTGTTCTTTTCCTCTCTCATTCAGTTATTAAATCTTTACTGTGGCTCACAATTTTTTTTCCTGCCCAGTCCCACTGCAGGGGGAAGGAGTGAGTGAGCAGCTAGGTCAGTATTTAGTATTGAGGCTAGGGCCAACCTATCACAGTGGGTGCCAAGTCACATGAGCAAACTGAAATAAAATGTATGACAAATAATTTGAATGCCTAACACAGAGAAGTATAGTCCTTAGAAAGTATTTGGTGCATTTAAGAATGAATCACTAGTAAACAAATATATTTAAATAGTAACTTATTTTTTGGTTAATAGTTAAAATTCTGACTAGCATAGTGCATTTTTTGGCAGAATAATTTCAAGTTTTAAAGGAATAAGTAAAATTGTTTACTACCTTGTGTATGCTGATTATTTTCCTTACATTATCTAAATATAACATGAGTCTAGATGCTTTAATTTTGAATTATTGCAAGTTCTATAGTTCAATTTTATATAGAACTATTATTATTATTATTTTTTTTTAATCTTGTAAAAGATTAAAAGTACCCTAACAATAGCATTTAAAGAACAATGATTATCTCCCAGTGTTGGTCAAAAAGAAATCAAATCATGAACATGAGCAGTTATCTAAATTTCAGCCTTACTCATGGTAAAGCAAAATAATTTTTTTTCATTTATAATAGGTATTGGATTACAGAGTTTTGGATTATGTTCAAAATGGACTCTAAACTATCAACAACCATGGAGGCATTTCAAGAACTGGTTAAAGCTAATGGTGAGGAGTTGCACTGTCGTCTAATCGACACAACTCAAATGTGAGTGCCAAAGTTCCAATATAGTTGCAAAACAAAGTTTTGCTCTGAATTTCCTTTATTTAAATATAACTCTCTCTAGTATAACAGGATAAGGATACCATAATGGGTTAATTTTAGTCTACAATAAGTTCTATGTTATTAATTCTTAGCAAAGCATTAATACATTATACATAGAAGAACAGAATGCCTTTCAAGAATGGGCTAAGTTGAACTGGACTGTTTTCTAGACTTTGTACTGATTTTCTATGCTAGTTAAGCATTATTATATCCAGGGAGCCTTACTGACTCAGTCAGTGAGAGAAAAGAGTGCATTTTGATTGTGTAGTAGAGGAGGTACAAGTGTCAGTGAGATATGTTAAGGACTATTAAAGGGAATATTTTATGTTCAGTAGATCAGAGTCAGGGAGAGCAATTCTGAAAGTGCAGTATGCGATCTTGTCTTGCTTAGTAATGTTGTTGTACTGTATTTAGATGCAACATAAATGCTTACAGAAAATGTTTTGTCATGTAGTCTGTAATTTATGAAAGATGCTTGCTGTTTAGAAATCCAAATAGTAACTTTTTAATGCAGTAAAGCATGAAAATAATGCAAGTTTTCAATTAAGAAGTTTCATCTTCAGATGGTAACTTCAGATAATTCTCTCTTAAAATTTCTCTAAAAGAAATTCCAGGGACTGGTCTAGAAAGCTGACACAACGTGTAAAGGCTAACAGCAGTAAGAAACGGAAAGTTTCACTCCTTTTTGATCACCTTGAGCCAGAAGAGCTGTCAGACCATCTTACCTATCTTGAATTTAAGTCCTTCAGAAGAATATCAGTAAGTGTTTTATTTTATTTTAAATAGAGGCAGGAAGGAGGTAGTAAAGATGGGAGAGAGGTATCATTACAGGTTTAACCCTGAGGTGCAAGCACCTTGACAAACTGACAAAATGATTGTGGTGGAGAGCTGGCAAAAAAAATCAAGGTCAGCTGCAGAGCCAGATGGGAAAGCTTACCTGTATATCAGTAAAAATAAATGAAGTAGGTGAGGCTTGTTTCTTTGGCCCCGAGGTCAAGTAGAACAAGCACAGCTCAGCTTGTTTCACTATGACTAAGCTATCATGTTGTGCAGAGGACACTGATGCATGCTCTGCACTGAAAATATTCCTTAGTTTGTTCTATACCCAAACCACCATCTCCAACTATTACCAAGATTGGTAGTGCTGTGAGCTAAGATTTTACCCATTTCTTTGCTAACAATGAAGTTAGCATGGACTTACGTGCCTGTGTCTTTGTCCATATTATTTTTGTTTTACTAGACTGAAACTGGACAGTGATACTTATTGGCAGACTACTTATTATCTGACTACCTTCCTTTTTGCTGTAGTCAGTTCAGAGAGGGTGCAAGTATAGAAAATCTTAGGTAACTACACAATAGTTTGAGGGAGGGGGCCTTTGGGGAAGTGGAAGAAACTACCTGAACTTCTTCCAAATAATAATTTTCTACTAGAAGTGGTGGTGTAATTGCATGCAGGAACAAGCAGTATCCTCTGGCTCAGATCAGCAGTCAGGCTCGAGAGGGATGAAGGAAGCCTGGAGATCTCCTAGAAAGCCAACTTCCAGTGACAGTAGGAAACAGCAATGCAATATTCTCATGCAGCAGATAAGTGCTTCTCTGCATAAACTGCTGCCTGTAGATAATACTAACATTCAAAGCTCATAACTCCTAGCACTTTCAAACCTTTATGCAGACATAAAATTATTGAGTAACACAGGTATGATTGCAGTCAGTTTCAAATTTGTCATGGGATTCCAACTATTACATGCATACAATTTGGTGTAAATTGAAACTTCTTAAACCTCAGATCGGAAAACAATGTGCATTAGTAAGAAGTTCTATCTTTAACTGTTCATACAGTGTATTCATGATATGTGAAGCCACAGAATCCTTTCCTAATTCTAACTTGGCAGCAAATACTAGGAGAAAGATTTTAAATAGCCTGCAATGTTATCAGTCATTGGAATGACTACTCAGTCATTTGAAAGTCAGAGAGGAATAGCTGATCCTCAAAATATATATGGCATTTAGCAAAGACTTCCATGAAACACTATGCATCTTGCAGCAAAGAAAGTGCAGAGAGCAGTAATCACAAAGGACTGACTGCAAGTATGAGCATACCTGCAAAACATTTCAACATAAAGCTGTAGAAAACAGGTAGTCTAAGCTGTCCAAGCTGTTCATTCTGATTCTGCTTTGCTCTTGAGGCTTTTTAATTAGTCACTGCAATATCAGGCTGTTGCATTATTTAAGTACCTGGTCTTCTTCACTGTATCAGCTGCTAATAATCTGCTTATATCTAACCAGTCTAATAAATTCTTGCACCAAAGTTTTCTGGAAGTTTTAAGAAGTACTAGATATGATTTTTTTTCAGCATTAGAAAAAAAAAAAAAAAAATCGTTTTTGGAAGAAGAGAGCTACTGAGAACAAAATATAACCTAACCAAACCATAATTGTACTGAAACTGCTATGAGATTGATAATTATGTAGTCAAACATTGAATAAATATCGTACAGTGTAATTGCTTAGATTTCAACATCCAGCCAAATCTGGATGTAGTTCAGAATTCAAACAATAACTATAAGTGCTGTGAAATCTTAGAGACAGCTCTACTTATTGTTTTCTTACTGTTCTTATGATTTATCCCATTTTTCATTTAGTAAGAGGATTAATTCAGGTATCTGCTGCCACCTCTGACTTTTAAAAGTGTTATTTATTAAATGAAGAAAGGAAAAAGTTAAAGCAGAGGGAGAACAAGCAAGAAACAAATAACAGTTTTACCATTTATGATATTTCCTTAAGGATCAATGCCACTCAGTGTCTTTCTTAAACCAAAGAGATATAATACATATGTAGAACACATCTATTATAGCTATGAAAGTTTTTAAGATGTCAATATTATTGTCCATTATAAAAAGTGTACATACAAGTATCCTATCATGTTTTCTGATTATTCACTTTGTGTATCCTTGCTAATAGAATAATAAAAAAAAAAATAATAATCAAGGAATCAGATAGACACTGCATCTATGAAAACAAACATTTGCTTCTCTTTGATCTTAATGAGAAGAACAGCTTCAAGGAAAATACCAATGCTTTGTCACATACAGGGGTTCCCTAGACTATTTTAGGCCACTTGGTTAAATAAGAAAACTTCACAAGGTGCATCAAAATATTAAGGAATCTGTAGTCCTCTTTTCTTAAGAAATCTCATCTCAGTTTTATGTAAGTCTGATAGAACTCATTTTGTTTGGTTAGAATAGTTTAATGTAGAAGTGCTATAGTTACAACATATGTATCTAAAACTATCACTGAATTACCAGATTAAACCAAATTTTAAGCATTATCTTCCTCATAGAGAACTAAATTCAGTGATTCTGTTGAGCCAGCGACACTGGGACAGTTGAGACTTGTGAGATATGCACAGTACAATGATACAATATAAATTATGAAGAAAAGATTCTTTTAATTCCATTACTATGAGCTTTCTGCTTTGAAAAGAACAAAGGAGAGGTTTCAAACCGATGAACATTTATGGTTCACTAATTATCTTGTTCTTCAGTATTTCATTTGTATTTGCATACAGACCATGAGGTAGATGATTTTTTATTTATTTATTTTTTTTTAAAAAAGTTCTCAGATTATCAGAGCTACATTGTGAATAGCTGTGTGAAAGAGAATCCAACAATGGAAAGATCAATTGCTCTTTGCAATGGTATCTCTCAGTGGGTGCAGCTAATGGTTCTCAGTAGACCAACACCACAGCTTCGAGCTGAAGTATTTATCAAGTTCATTCACGTTGCACAGGTCAGTTAAATTTTGATACACAATACTTTGACTTTCTCTGAAACAGTCCCTTAATTTCTTTTCCCCCTGCCCCCACTGTCAACTAAGAAAGAGAAGCTGGCAGTGATCTCCCATTTCATACATATAGTATGCATACTTGTGCCATGCTATGGTCTTATGCCAGGTATTCACATATTACAATGTAAGAATAGGCAGCAGCAACTATAGTTGCCTTTAACCAGCTTCAGAACACCCAAGAAAATTAGCAGCCAGTCTAATAATAAAGAAGGAATCACTTACCCCTTTCCAAGATCAGGGCCCACAGGAAACTCCCAAAGGAAGAAATCTCTAAGTAGAGATAACATCTTTGTGGCTGCCAGCCCTTAAATGAGGTTTGGGACTGAGGGTTCACCCCTTCTGATCACACAAGTGAAATGCTTGCAGCTGTGCCCCCAAGGCTGGTCACACCCCTTCTCCAAGTGCTCAATCACTGGTTCAGGCTGTGACCTAACAGTCCCCATACACAGTATCTTCAGTCTCTACAGTTTTCTCCTATTCATTCTGAAGGAAGTATTTTCACAGAAAAATGAGATTTATATATTCTTGAAATCAGTTTGTGAAGTGTCAAGTTGAAAATGCCTGTCATTCCAATGTATGAACTGCTGTGATTATTTTGGCCATAAGTACAATTGCTTCTACTTATGCTTCATGTGATAGAAGCAAAGCTATCCTTCTACTGATGTTTTTTGCATACTAATCCGTCTGTGACCATAAACAAGAAATTGGACAGTGCTGTTGCAGACTGCGGGAAGAAGGAGAAATACTGAGGAGTCCTTTGAAGACTTGCTGTATTTGTGGAATTATTGTTATTTAGTAACAAATAAATGTTACACTCACCAAAATCACAATTTCAGTACTGGAGTGAATGAAGTCAAATAGATTGTGGTACAAAATTTCTAAGACTTTGGTCCTGAATAATAGAGGAAATGCAGAATTTGGCTGTACATATGGTACAACTTAAAGCTTTAAATAATGAATACTATTTGTTTGTATGTCAACGCAGAAGCTTCACCAGTTGCAGAATTTCAACACATTAATGGCAGTGATAGGAGGTCTCTGTCACAGTTCCATTTCCAGACTCAAGGAAACAAGCTCATGTGTTCCTCATGATGTAATTAAGGTTGGTATTGTAACTTTTACGAATCGTGTAGATTTAAACTTTTTTTGGTCACTTCACACAAAAGCAAACAAGTTCGCTTTGTTAGACATGACATAGAGCAGACGGAAAAAAAAGGAAGAGTTCCCTCACTCCTGGTTTTTTTGTCACTTCATTTTACAAACATCAGTTACTCCTACAATTTCAATGTCTCCTTCATAGATTTGTAGAGCTACTTTAAAGTTTTTGTTTAATATCTGGATATGAAAACACCTGTTTTCATTTAGAAGCACACAGAAGTACAGAATAGCATTCAAATGTGAAAGCAGACAATTAGTTCCTACAACATCTGAGAACAAAACTTTTGCTGTCCATAGTAATGCTGACTAGCTTGAGTCTATAAAACACAAACATAGACATCTGCACTTTAATACTGGAAAGACCAGTTTTGTTTATCTGATCTTTCCCTGTGATAGACTTTATCTAGTCAGACTTGAACAAATTTAGCCATAAGAAGCACATGATCATAATTTTGCTGAGATTCCAGCTACTAAAACTAAGAAAACATTATTATTGTGGTTTTTTTTTTAAGCAATTAAATGGCTTTAATCATTTGCTCTTAAGAGACTAATACACCCCACTTGGCTCCTGAAAGAATTCATATGGGCATCTAAGAAACCTGCTTTGGTCACAGAGTATAATGAACAGGTTTAATGAACACTGCATATCTGTAATAGAGCAGAAATATCCCCTTCCACTGATAACAGTTGCATTTCTTAAAATCCGTTGACCCAGTTTAGCAAGCTTATTTTAAAGGCATGTTTTGTTGTTGTTGTTGCTTGTACAAATTTACTCACCATGAGGAATGCACATTTACTCATCATTTGGAAAACATTTTGCATCATTGTATAGAAATATTAATAAAAACTCAGAAAATAAAGGCTGATAAGTAGTGGCTTTACCAGTTTAAAGTTTACTTTGAAATTTAATTAAAGGACTGATTTCTGAAGGTTAAAAATTGAGTGGATAAACAGGAACTTCCACAAAGAAAAACAAACAAAAAAGAAACCAACCAACCAAAGAACTCTACAAATCACAGTAAAACATTGTCCTATTAACTTTATAATATTAAAATGCAGCTTTATGCCTGTATAGTTTTAATTAAGGAAGGTATTTATATTGCTATATATGTATTGCTAGACTTGGGATTCATTTGGCTTTCACAACAGGGTACAGTGTATGTTTCTTTCTTCTTTTCAAGGAAAAGTTTTTCTTCAAAGCACTGACATGTCACCCTGAATTGTAGGAATTCCGGCCATATTATGATGGCACAGTATAGGGTTTCAGGTGGCAATTCCAACTGGTGACTCGGGAGCCAGAGAATTACATTTCACATTTTAATGTGAAGACGCTTGCTTCTGGGAAGATCAGAGACACGACATCTGCAGACACATCCCCTTGATTTTAGAGGGTTGTATTTTTTTTCCATTGTCTAAATAGGGAATGTAGGAAAACTGGTATTACAGACTGGCATTAATAGCTTATTAATTTAAGTGAGGTGAATAACTAGATTTCATGTGGAGCCTAAAGATTTACATTTAAAAAGTCCACTTTGGGAGCCGCTGTGAACAAACTACAGAAGAATAACATGGGAAATTACTATGACATATAAGTAGAACAGAAAGAGTTTTGACAGTTTGCTTTTTATTTTACTTTTGACTATTTTCTTTTCATTTTTAGGTGTTTAATGAAATGACAGAACTGCTTTCATCTTGCAGAAACTATGACTGTTATCGACGTGCTTATAATGAGTGCACTAACTTTAAGATCCCAATCCTTGGGGTCCACCTGAAAGACTTGATATCACTTCATGAGGCTATGCCAGATTACTTAGAGGACAAAAAAATTAACATATGCAAACTGTACTCTCTCTATAACCACATAAATGAGCTAATACAGCTCCAGGAAATGCCACTTCCCCTGGAGGCTAATATGGACCTTGTTCATTTGCTTACGGTAAGTCTATTGGAATAGAGAAATACTTCAGTATTTAAAATAGTTTTCAATTGCCTCAAACTGAACTAAATAGAGAATTGTATTAATTATAAATACCTAATGTTATAAGATTCTATATTTTTTTCCTTATGGAAGTCTACAGTAGCAGAAGAGGAGAAAAAGCTAGTGATGCTGATTTACCAAGCAGCAAGGGTAGAAACACCATGAGCAATATGCTTCCAATTATTTCTATAAAAGAAGAAAACATTCATATTTCTGTTCCATGACAATAGCATACATTATCTCTGATCTTTCCCTAATGAAACACTCTGAATCCTCTGCTAACTGAACCTAAGCAGGAAGAAAGGTAGAAAGTTTCCCTTGCTACATTATGAAAGCAGAAGATTGCATATAAGGCTGCCTCCTGTAAAATATATAAATTTGGGAAGTTTATATGGAGGGGATTACTCAAGAAAGGGTTAAACATGCCACATTTCCAGCAAGGTTTCTTCTGGTACTTGTGAAACTATCTGACATAAAAATCTGTCATGTTGTTTCATTATGCTTCTAGTCATCTTTAGTCAGTGCTATCTTGGGAATAACACTAACACTACCTAGCACATGCTACAAAATGGATTTTGCTTCTCCTTTTAAATTTAAGTACTATCTCTTTATTAAAATAGAAATTCTACCTTTCTTGTTTCTTAGTTTTGTTTGTCCCTATCAAGCATCTCAGATTGGATAAGCTAGATAGCATTCCTTTTGGTTTGTGGTTACATGCTCTGTTTCAGCAAAATCTGGTAGATAACATGCACATGCTTGTGCACTTGAGATTATTTGTTCTTTTAAGGAGCAATCGGGGCCACAATTTCATGTAAGTATGTATTACAGGACATAAAATACTTACTTCACTTTAAAACAAGAGTTTCACATCAACTAATATTCCTGGGCACATAGTGCTCCTGTTTGCTTTTTGTTGTTTTCTTCCCAACAATCTGTATCCTTTGCTTTCCTATCAACAGGCAATCAGTTTGAAGAGACACTTGAACGCGTTAGTCAATTATTCAGAGAAGTATCTTGACACTGAACTAATTTTTGAGTGTCAGAAACTACATTTAGATTTCTGAAAGAAAGAATCTGAAATTATTACTTTACTGTACCAGTAATTCTTTCAGTTATTCACAAGAAAGCTGCACATCTAAAAGTTGAGTAATGTTATTCGGCTATGGTCTGATGTGTTATCTGGATTAAACAGTATATTTTATTTCTTATTTTATGTGACTGTCACCACCTTGACTGACACTTTGGGATAACTTTGTTATGGAGATAGTGTTTCAACATTTTATGTCCTTCAAACTTGCCGCAGAGCGAAACTTGTGATGCATTTGCCTGTGGCTTTTCTATTCAGTCACATTTCTAATGTGATTATTTTCATGTAAATATTCAGAAACTGTCATTACTAGTTTTTAATCTTAGCTTGAAATTGTTTCCAGTCAATACATTATTATCTATACTATTTTGCAGGACACATCCATAAACAAAGGTGTAAATTTGGTAACTTTTTCAAATTCCTGAACTTATCTGAGTATAACGTTTCTCACTCTGCATAACTGCAGCTGATAGTTAAATTCTAACTAAATATATACATGTCCATCTTTCATCCTCCTCATGCACTTCTTGATTCAACCTGGTTCACACAAGTTTCATGAGAATTAAAGTTGATGTTGAATTTCATGGGCTGGTGATTACATTGCGTGAAAAACTATCAATAAATATATCATGGCAGTAACAGGTTTTTTTCAGGTTACTTACTAACACGCTGATGCCTACAGTCACTTGCAATGTTAATGTTACAGATTTCCAGACAATGGCAACAACAGACTGGAACTTAGAAATGCATCCATTTCAAATCATGATCAACACCTGTGTAGCGTTGTTTTGTTTTCTTTTTCCTAGGTGCAAACTTGAAACACCAGACTACCAAAAAATACGAATGCAGGCCAGGAACAAGTAAATCAAGTAGTAGTAACTGCTCTGGGATTAAGCTAATGTTCTGTTTATTTTCAGCTGTCCCTTGATCTGTACTACACAGAAGATGAAATTTATGAACTTTCATATGCACGAGAGCCAAGAAGTCACCGAGCTGCTGTAAGGACCTTTCCAGATTCTTAACAAAATAACTTTATGAATAATGCAGTTAATATCCCTTGCATCCATCTTATTTTATTTTCGGCAAAACTGAAAACGGAGCAAAACTGAACAAAATCCATTACAGCAAAAAAATGTTGGGTTGATGATGAAACATAAAGGAGAGTGCATGTGAGACTTGATGCTGTATCAGGTTTCCTAAAAAACACAAATGCAGTTACTTGTACAGAGGCATCAGGCTTCCTCTTGAAAATCAATACTGGTTCTTTTAAGTTAAGAATTCTTCTGCGATTCAAATGATCAAATTTGTGAGTTTTATGCTGTAGTTTTTGATTTTGTTTCGGAAAAAATCATGAATTTATAGGGCACTCAGTGAATTGTGACAATTTAAGAAAAGACAGTTCAAGGAAGTTGAAGTATGACAAAATTATGAAAAATATGACTTTGTGTCAGAGAGGCCATTTCTGCAGTCCTTTATTTCATAGTCCATTGTCACAATTGAAAGAAGTATAATACCAAAAATATTTTAGTGTGGTACTAATAAAGTTTCATTCAATTTATTGTAGCCTTTGACACCTTCCAGACCACCAGTAGTGGCAGACTGGGCCTCAGGAGTAGCCCCAAAACCTGATCCGAAAACAGTCAGCAAACATGTTCAGAGGATGGTGGATGTAAGTATGGTTGGACCATTTACCTTGTATCTCAGTTGTAGTCTTAACTGCTGGGTACAAAAGGATGCAAAGAAAGAAACAAGCTATTGCTACATTCAAAACTGTGCTGAGTTTGTTAACACTTCTGTCTGCACAAAATGGATATTTCTGCTACCTTCAAACAGCATTAGCAGTGAGGTATGAGAGGAAATTCCTTAAATAACTAAGAAGCCAGCCAGGAATGTGAAAGTTGATTTGTATTCTTCCAGAGTCATTCTTTCAAGCAGCCAGGTATTCCCACTCTAGCAGGGTCTTCAACATCATGTTACTGGTAGAATCTGAAAGCAGACCTCTCAACAGCTTTGTTACTAGCAGCCATTGCTTTTTTTTTTTTTTTTTTTTTTTTTTTTCTCATTTGGGTCATCAGTTTTGATGGTGACTGATTTCAAAACAGAAACATGGAGAGAAGTAAAGATTTTCTTTACATTCCGGCATCATCTCTTTTTCTTCTAAAGACTTGCTTGTTATCCCTTGATAAACATATACTATTTTGGAGGGTATTTCTAAATTTGTCCTACATATGCTCCTTGCTCCAGGACCAACCCAGTCAGTAATGTCATTCCACAAGTAGAAATAAGTCTTCATATAACTGATTCTCACATAACATTAACCTGATCAAATAAGCCAGGCAGCTGCAGCGGTTTGTCGAGAGACCATCATTGAAAACATTAGTACAAGTTGTGTAAGTAGACCTTAGTGATGATCTTAAAGAGAAACTATGAGGTCCGCTCTGAAAGTAATGCCTGCTATTTTATTATGTTGGCCCCTGACATCAGTGGTGGATGCTGGTGGTATGGCAGTAGATGTTGAACCTTCTGTCAACATTGTGTTACATTTTGTTGCCAAGCGACAGATGGCAATGGAGGAGATGTCACACAGAGTGGCATCTGACATGGAAGTGCATATGGAGTGGTGGTGTATCACTGATTTCCCCCATGTAGAAAAAATGGCACCCACTAACATTCATTGATGCTTTCTGAATGTTTATTCAGACCAAACAGGGGATGCAAGAACAGTGAGGTGGTGGGTGGAGTGTATCAGCAGTGGCACTGTCATAGCATCCGTGAAACAGTGGGTCGGCTCTGCTGTGCAGATTTTTACAAGCATGGCATGCAGGCTTCTGTTCACTGCTGATGAAAATGCATAGCTAATGGTGGTGACCAAGTTAGAAATAGGGTTTTGTAGCAGAGAACTTGTTCTATCAAATAGTGTTATTGTGCTCTTTCTATCTGGTGTAATTTCTATGGAAATACATAGAGGTATTACTTTTGGAGCAAACTGTGTAAATAAGAGCTAGCCTTGTGTAGTGAACCATTCAGTTGTGTCTGTGTTGACCTATCACCTATCTGCATTTTCCTAAGAATCAGGAAATCATAATGCTTCTTTAGACTCAAGAAAAAAAAAATTATAAAAACTCTTATATTATTTAATAGATATTGAGGGAAAGTGGGAGAGGAATGCTCTAAATATTGTGGACAGTTTCTGAAGTGCGAATGTAATAAGCTTCTACCCTTGTAATAAACTATTCTATTATTATCTTATACAGTCTGTCTTCAAAAATTACGACCATGATCAGGATGGTTACATTTCTCAAGAGGAATTTGAAAAGATAGCAGCCAGTTTTCCATTCTCATTTTGTGTAATGGCTAAGGACTCGTGAGTACTCATACATCTCCTTTCACCCGGTTCTGCTTATGAACCCTGGCTTGTTTGTTTTGTTTTCTCTTCTTCTATCACTAGGATCGTAAAATCATCCTCTTCACCAGCAAAGTAAAAACATAACTGACAAAAGCATCATTCAGATGTTTTGTGAATGAGCTTACAGCAGTGGTTGATGTAGCAGGAAGAATAAAGATAAAAGAAAAATAGAATATTTTTGAATGACAGTGTGTACCACTGAATAACTTTCAAAAAATGAACCTGATCCTCAAAAACAGAGAATTGGCAAATGTATATTTTGGAAAAATTAAGAACGTTCTTCTTAGCACCTTAAAACGTGGAAAAATAAAACTGATAATAATATCAATAAAACTAAGAAATAGTTTTGAAGTTGCATCTCATATGCAGATTATTCATTTATCCTTACAGGCTGAAATTATAATGTGCAGAGAAGCTTCTGTAAACTTTGGGAGCAGTTGACAAAATTGTTGATATCACTGTAGGTTTTGATAAATTAAGATATTGCCATTATAAACTGTAAAGAAAAGGTATGTTTAATTCTTTTGCTTTTAAGAAAACAGATGCTTCACAAACAACTTTTCTTGTTTATTTTCAGGGAAGGTCTGATTAGCAGGGATGAAATAACCGCTTACTTTATGAGGGCTAGCTCAATCTATTCCAAATTAGGACTTGGCTTTTCTCACAACTTCCAGGAGACCACTTACTTAAGACCTACTTTCTGTGACAACTGTGCTGGATTTGTAAGCTCTCCTTTTTTATTTTTTTATTTTTTTTTTTTTTATTTTTTTTAATTGAAGGCAAATTATGTTAGTATTGTCTGGACAAATACCTGTTTTTATCAGATAATTACCTCATGTGACCTACAAAAACCTATACAAAACATCAGTGAACCTACAAAGAAAACAAGGCTGCTGCCCATGTAGCTATGTAATGTGCCCTTTCATACATTCCCCTCATGGTAATATTATGTGCTTAAACACAGCTCCTTTCTTGTGTTTGGCTATGTCACTTAGACAAGACTTCCAAATTCAGAGATTTCCACTCCACTGAGCTGTTAGAATTTGTGCTATTAGAGACCATCCAAAGGAGGGCTATGAAAAAGCTAAAGTGTCTGGAAGGCAACAGATAATGTGGAGTGCCTGAGGCCCCTTGGTTTATTCAGCCCAGAGCAGAGGAAGCTGAGGAGAGGCCTCGTGGCAGCCTGCAGCTCCTCAGAGGGGCAGCAGCGATCTCTGCTCTCTGGTGACAGTGACAGGACCTGAGGGAATGGCATGGAGCTGCAGTCAGGCAGCTGAGGCGTTAGGAAAGGGTTCTTCACTTTGCTGGAATAGACTCCCCATTTGGCCAGTGCTGTCAGAAATATGATTTGAATTCTGGGTGGTCCTATACAGAGCAAGAATTTGGAGTCAATGATCCTTGTCAATCCCTTCCAATTCAGGGTATCCTATCATTTTATGAACTTGTGTTTGGTACAGATGTGACATGATTCCTGCCTAGCACAAGAAGATTTAGTAAAACTGAGTTCTACTGCTCCCTAGCTTAGCTGGGATCAAACAAGAGTGATGATATGAAATTCCCCATCTACTCCAGTTCCACAGCTTTACTTTGGGCTGTCAGATCTGCTGATGTATTCATCAGAGACTAGGTCAAGCTACTTTGTTTGTGATTAAGGAGCATACATATAAATATTGTCTGCTAAACAGAATATTTATACTAAAGAGGTAGATGGTTCGTATTTTGATTTTACCATTAAAAGAATAGAAAAACAAAGTATTCTGCTGGTGCTCAGATTTCAGAACTGAGTGGAGCTTTTAGCGGATTTGTATATCTGAAGGTATAAACCGTGCAGAAATAAATACTCTTTCTGTTTGTCTGAATTTCAGCTATGGGGAGTAATTAAACAAGGATTCAGATGCAAAGGTAAGAATCTTTATCTTTTGTTATATTTAATCTATAATTAACGGTGAATGACAAAAAGGAAAAAAACAAAGAATAAAAAAACAGCCCTGATCATTCCAAGATTTATTGTTGTAGACCTATTTAATCTGGCTCCTAAAGGAGGAGAAGGCTGACTTAAAATTAAGATGACAGACTGATGCTCCAAAAGAAACGCAAAGCTGAATGAACTGTTCTACTCTTTGCAAATCTTCACTGAATCCAGAGGGTTGAGGAACAGACCCTTCTATTCTGATGAATGAGAACATCAACTCTCTGTGACGACTGTATAACAGACTCAAGTATTTTGTAGGGTTTTCCACCTCATGCAGGTATCTGCTTTCTCTGCAACTCTACAGTCAGAAATCTGTTGCAACCGAATGTTGCTATTTGATATTTTCAAAATGAAAAGGCCTTTGAGGTGTATAGCAAAGGAATACAGCTGATTTCTTAGTTTATGTTGTTTCAGGTAATGCATGTAGGGATCACAAACATTTCCCTGCTTCTTGGGCAGAAAACTCAGTGTGAGAGTTATCTTAAGCACAACAGAGACACTGAATTGTGTATACTTTCATTTGTTTACAGACTGTGGAATGAATTGCCACAAGCAATGCAAAGACCTGATTGTGATAGAGTGCAAGAGAAGACACAAAACTTCTGTTGCAGACAGCAGCCCAACATCTGCTCTTGCTTCAAGCCTCTGCACAGTAGCAGTTAAAGAGCAATTCCATGGTGAGGAAAGGTCACATTAAAAAGCTCAAAAGATCTAGATAATTTTTAAGTTGTTTCTTTTATTTTAAAGATAAGTTGTACTGCACTGTTTTGAGTTTTGTTAGTTAGTTATAGTTAATAGGCTGATAAAACTCTGTAACTAAGCATTCCAGTTCAAGTCTTAGGTGAACAAATTTCTAGGAGACCTCTCCTCACACCAAACAAGGTAAGGTGCACAAATTCCACAAGAACTCAGTAAGTCTTCAGCCAGATTCTCATGAGAACTTAAATGCCATGAAATGAAGAGCTGCCAGCTTTCCTTAACTCTCCCATCTTGTAAGAAGCAGGTCTTGGTATGCTTGTTTTTACCACTGTTGTTACATTAAGGAACAGCTGTACTATTACAATTCTAAAATTTCAGTGTGGAATCTATAAAGTAGATACTTACGTATCTTTGTGTTAGGAATCTACAACTCCTCTTGACTCAATTTACCATATATATTCTATAGGACAAGAAGAAGGACCATTCACATTTCCAAATGGAGTAGTAGAACACAATGAAGACAGCAAGGACCGAACTATTATGCTCATGGGCTCCTCAGCTCAGAAAATCTCAGTAAGATTGAAACCAGCCGTAGTTCATAAAGGTATACAGACAGACTCCACACTGCTGGCTGCTGATGTATCACATAGGTCAATGGAGAAGAAAGAGAAAAGGATACTAGAAAATCCTTATCTCCAGCCCATCCCACCATCCCCACGTCCAAGCCCATTACTAAGCCGTAAAAAAGCATATGTTAAATGGGAAAACAAGGAATCCAGTCAGAAAACGAAGGAGGAGCATCACGAGCATCACAGCTATAAACCCTCATACCAGGAACTTGAGCGGGTATGTACATAGTGGAACATATTTGGTTTTACACTCCAGTACTGTAAAGAGCGTGAGGATGTGGCTGGGTGGGAAGATGTCATTCTGTCACTGTTTTCAAGTATAATTAATTGCCAGAACAATCCGTGAGGGACATAATGAATTCTTAGTCTCTTTACCTCCAGCAATGCTTCACTTCAAATAGAAATTTAAGTAGTAGTATAGGGCTTAGGGAATGTGTTCCGAAGACTTTACTATGATTATATTGATCCCTGTCTTCCTTAGAAGTGACAAGGAAGTCTGTGACCACAGTCCGACTGCTTAGAAAAAGGTATTACTCCATAAAACGAGTTATATTTAAGGAATTGTCTTCCACACATGTAATACAAGACTGGGAATGCTGAATAAGCGTTTTAACATGTTTGACAGTCTTCTATTTATGTACAGCATAATGTTGAAAACAGATAAACACTTCCTTAACAAAAATACTTGTAGCTAAAGATAATGACTTCTAATACAAATTTAAAACAGCAATGTTAGACAAAACCAGAAATTCACAGCACTTTAGAGAACGCAGAAGAAAAAACATTCAGGGAGATGCACATGAGTTAAATAAAGAATTGTAAATCTCACAGTTTTAACATCTTTAGTTAAAAAATAAACATTCTTTACATGAATATCTCAATCTACTTTGGAAACAACTGTTCTAGATAATGCATGGGGTAGTTGCCTGTATTCATTTCCTCATGGATTACAATGCTGGCAAATCAGCTCAGTGCACTAGCATCAAATTTTCTACAATACAGTATAATCTGTTATACACTGTATGGCTTCATTTCTCCTATATAATGAAACAATGTACTAAACCAGTCTAGAACAATTTGATTGAAGCTCCTTATTTGGCTTGAAATAATAAGCAACAGGAATATACCAAAGCTTCTAAAAGGAAGAGCTTTGAAAGGGTAGTAAGATGCTCCTAATACTTAGAAGGATTTCTTTTAAGAAAGAAGATTTTGCATAATTTAAATTCTAAGAGCCATATAAATACTTGCAGATTTGCATATTCTTAAAGGAAATCAGAACAAAACAGGGTGAAATAATCATATCTCCATCAAGTTGCTCACTGTTTATTCATCTACTTGAAATTTTGATTTTCAGTGTCATGTCTAAATTCCAGCCCAGTAAGATCAATAAGCAGTGACTACTGCTGAATATGAAAAGCAGCAAAGCTATGTCTTGACACCTATCTTATATTTGTATTCCTGGTTACTTAATTACTCATGGCATGGTCTCATTTTGGATTAACATGCTATAAAAATAAGTTTGTCCTAATCTAACCGTTGTGAATATTTTTAACAGCTTCCACAAAATTTTAACATGACCCATCTTAAAAGAAACAGTGAAACTGACATTTTCCTCCCAGGAGCCAGACCACTATCTTGAGTATCTTCATGTGCTCAAAACATTAGCTTCATTTAATTCCATCTTGGATTTTGAATACCTCACTAGATATTTCTGTAGCTCAGGTTCAGAATAGTCTATTTATTGTATTTGCCTTTAAAATTCACAGTCCACACTTTTCAGTTTTGCATTCACAGAGCACATGTGATCTGTATTTTTTTTTTTTAACTGCTATAGCATGTAGTAGACAGTCCCTAAATCACTAATCTGTGCCTAGACAGCCCCTAAAGCACTAATCCGTGCCATACTGTAAGCAAACAAAATGACAGTCACATTCCCATTGAGTTTTCTGGACTTATTACTGTCCAGAGACAGATAGATACTGTCTTAGAGACAGATAAGAAGAGAACTATAAGAATTCGTTAAGATAAAATTATTTTCAGTGCATAGTCCCTACATATTATCTTTCAGCATTTTGGTTTTGAAAAAAAAGTTATGTAGGTAAACATCTAGGCATGTTGCCCTCTCCACTCCCCCACCTCACCCCCCAAGAAAAACAAAACAAATATCACTTTCGTAGCCCTGAATTTCTTTCCAGTTTAGAAAGCAGTCAAATAACATGCTGCTCCCTGCTGCTAAGAGCTACACCAACTGATCTTTATGCCAGTCAACCTACATGCACAACCAGACAATCCTGAAACAAATGTAAAATCAAATACCATTATTTTTTTTGTTTCCTTAGGAAAGAAATATTCTAAAGGCAGACAATGAAGGTTTAAAGATGCAACTGGAGCAGGCACATAAAACAATTGAATCTCTTACGATTCAGAGAAAAAATCATGTTATTGACAATCTACAACACAAAGACTGCTCCTAGCAGATGAGGGGAAGCTTCTTCTGGAAGAACGTAAGACTGAAGGGAACAACTGTGAAAAAGCTGCTTTACCGAGTGAACCGGAAAGACACTCCAAAAGATTTTAAAACAGAAATACTCTCTTTATTCTATACATTTCCCTACTGAAAACACACTCCCAAGTCTATAAATGAATTCCTTCAATTTAAGGTATGTTAGCATCATCTGCACAATGAACACAGTATCTTCTGGGATTGTATTTGAAAGGAGTGGCACTGTTCCTGAAGCTTATGTACGTGATGACCATGTGGATTCTACAGTGACTTGGCTGCACATCTCACGCTACAAGTGCTCTAAGTAGCTACTCATAAGACTGTCACTTCAAATTTGGCCCAAATTCAGGTTTGTAGAAACAAACGCACAATAGAGATAAGCATTTAAGTAAATCTGTATTCCATTAAGAGAGAGAGTTCTTTCTCATTGTGGCTGAAACCAATTAAAAACATTACATAGACAGTCATCTTTATTTCTAGAGTTTAGCATATTGAATATTAATGCAAGTACTTAAGCTGATTTTTAGACTTTGTTATGGCATACTGACAAAAGTTTTAAAACTTCATTAAGGTAAAACATGAGACTAGAGAGACTAGAGAGACTAGAGAGACTAGAGAGACTAGAGAGACTAGAGAGACTAGAGAGACTAGAGAGACTAGAGAGAGTGAATTCAGCTTCCATTTCAGTGTTCCAGTTTACAGCTTGGAATACTACTCATGGGGCTTAAGGGATAGCTTGCTGTCCCTGTACTGTAGATAACACAGGGATAACATTGACTATTTTTTTTAATGTCAAAGTGCATACCAGTGTTGTAACTTCTGAGTCGTATCTTAAGGACCATATTATGAAGGAAACTGCATAGCAATCTCAATGCAATGGATATTGTATTCCAGTTTCTAACATCTTATGGTTCTAACCAGGATTTATTCAGTTTCCCTCATAGATTTCATACGCACTTTAGGTGAAGAGTCAAGGTGACTGTGCTCTTACGTGTGTAGATTTTGTACAGTGAAAGGTGCTAGGAAGGTAATGTAGTTTTCTTAGAACTACAAGGTGTACATACTGTTAGGAGATGACAAATCCGTCTTTCAAGTTACTGGTGAATCTTTTAGTCATAAGAGCCAATCTTAAAATTTATTTGCATTTCACAATAATTCTTAGAATTGTATAAAACTCACTTGCTTTTATAAAAAATGGATGGCATCGAGCATTTAAACAGCAGAAGCTGAAATTAACATATCTATTTACAACATACTTTCGTGCTCCAGCAGAGGGGTTGGACTAGATGATCTTTTGAGCTCCCTTCCAATCCCTGACATTCTGTACTTCTGTAATATACTTAGTGCTCTTCAAAACTTGCAAATTAGTTTACAAAGTCCATGACAGATTCAATTTTTAGTTGACCCCTTACTACAGCATGTGTGCTTCGTGTTCAGTGGCTTAGATGTATGCTCTGTTTCCAGCTTACAGTCATTAATTGTCAAGCATATTAATACTTTATTTATTTTTTTTAAAGTCAATCTGAAACTACTTACAAATCTGGTAAGTTTGGTTCTAAGTTCCTGGTTAGAACTTGAGTTGTGTCTGCATCCATGACTAAATAAAGACAAATATAGGGAGAGAGTAGTAGTAATAGTAGTATTAGACTTTCTGTTATCTTACTGTAAATAAATATGATCTGTGAAGAATTTAAATGCATATGACAAATCTAGCTGTTGTGAAGATTGTGAAACTTTTGTTCCTCATACACTAAACCTGAATTATTAACAGTTAACATGAAATTGCACTTTGATCAGTGAAGCAGCCAGAATGGCTCTCAGACCATATTTGCACATTTGCTTTGCCAATTTTCTGTGATCTTCTTGATTTTTGTCCTCTCTGCAGGACTACAGTGAGAAGTATTTCTAATACACACTTAGCAGATAAAAAGTCTGTTTCTACAACAATTAAAAGGAACAGCATGAATGTTGGAAATGTTTCAATGTATTTGGAAAATACCTTAGAAGAGCAGCAAAATTTGGCAAATCTTGTGCATCTAAGGAAACTCTGCTTGCTGATGGTTTCAATTCTAACAGAATTTCTGTATGTGTGTGTGTATGCATACATATATACACACACACTTTGCCTATTCTAGGAGGGTGGAAGAGGGAGAAAATTAACGAATCAGTATTTGGAAAGTTCCCTAATGCCAACACTGACTCAAAGGTTACTGTGTTAGTAACATTGAGTACTTAATGCTTAAAATCAAGTCAAGACTGTAGACTTGTACAGTCTAAAATTAAAACTTACTTTTCTGTCACCCTGTTCCTATAAACAGAATGATTTAGACCCAATCTGTTTGCAGGATCATCTTGCAGAACCCATACATGATACTTCATGTACGCTGAAAACTTACTGCTTCAGATGAATTTGTTGATACCTGAAAAATTTCAAAGCTCTCCAATTACCTTCAAGGTGTTTGCCCAAAGCCTCTTGCAGTGTTTTGTTGTTGTTGTTGTTGCTTTGCTTTGGTGGTAATCCCTTGTTATTACTTTGCAACTTCCTTTTTGCTGCATGAAATAATAGTGTTAATAGCAAATACTGACTATACAAGGATACTGATAAAACTGACAAAGCTACTGAGCAAAAATCACCCACATCTCTGTTGATCTTACTGCTACTTTATGCTAGGAAAAATGATATAATGACAGTACTAAGTGCCGTTTAGAGGACTCATCAGCAAGCACTGGTACTGAACACCTTTTAACTCTTATCTTGTCACAGTTAACACAAATGAAAAGCACTCACCTTTATTCTTTCTCCAGGCTCAGCTGTGTTTCATATACGTACAGAAAGGAAGAAAAAATGAAATGTTCATACCCCAACTACTGTTTATTTTCTAAGTATGAATTCTGATCCTTAAAAGATGAAAGTAAGTAGACTGAATGATCTAACAATGAAAAGGCCAGAGCTAATGTTAATACTGAAGACCACTGCCTTTAAAATAGCTTACATAAACTTTTGAAAATACAAAACAATATTACCTTTTGGAATTCTTTGTTACAGTAGCAATCTGTTATCCTGTGGGAACTGATCTCTACTCCATTTTTGTTTCAGTGCTACTAATGAAGATTGAAAAAGTGTACAGACTGTAAACATTTATATAAAGTGTAAGAAATCAGTTTAATATTTATAATAGAAAAAAAAATGTTAAAATTGTACTTTGCCTCTGAGTTTGTATCTAAAAGAAAGAAAACTTAACAACATATATTCATTTTCCTCGAGTCTATCATTTGGGACACTTCTGCAGGACTGACCTGGTATATGTGAGTCTCAAGTCTACATTTACATTCTTGAGCCTGAGGACACCAAGAGAACTTGGGAAGCTGGGCATTTTCAGATTACTTTTTCAGAATTTAGTGGCTGAGACAATACAGACACTGTTTTGCCATTACACTGTTCAAGGTATTCCCAAGCACAGTTCTTCATTAGCATTATCTCTTGCTTTTGTTAAGAACATTCATTCACAAAAAGATGTTACAGCATGATAGGTAAGCTTAAACAAGGCTTCTGCAATTTCTACTAGGGCTCGTACACAGGCAGCGTCACGTCATCCTGAACCTTTGCTATTCTTTACCTTACTGCAGAACTCAAAACACTGTATCTCATGCCTGTTTTTATGTCAGGTAGTGAACATCAAAATATCTGAGGGAAGGGAGGGAAGAAGAAGAGGGTGCTAACTACTGAAAAACACCATTCCTACTTACAGGCAAATCTGCTCTCCCAACTTTGCACATACAGAGCAAGGTGTGTTTTGCCTCAGAATTATAGAAGTGGAAAAAAAAAAAAAAAAAAAAAAAGGAAACCTCCAATTATTACTTCAGTTCACTACTTGTGAAGTTTTTCCTTAATTTACATAAAGACAAAAGTAATGATCACATAAACATATGCATTTTTCTTTTTGTATTAAGATAAATTTTAACTGAGTGTCCTTCAATGGAGACGGATTCCTTAGTAACTCCAGATAACGTAATCAGGATATATTTGGGACCTCTCCTGTCTGGTGAACTTTTCCTGGATTGTTATTGACTGCCTTCTCTACTTTTGTCAAAATTTGTTATTTTTCCATGATCATGAAAAGCACGTTTCATCATTATTTCAAATCACCAGCAGGAAATCTTCCTTGCAAGCACAGGAGATATGAACAGAGAATCAAAATCACACTAGACAAGTGATGCAAATAACTTCAAATACAGTACTTTATTCCTCAGTGTTTACAGCTGTTAACAAAACCATGTCCCTTCAGTCCTGACACAAAAGTTGTCTTCTTCAATTCTTGATCAACCAAAACAATTCACTGAATTTGAATAAACACAGAAATAATCATAGACATATAAAACAGCTTTTTTCTTACAACAGAATTTTTGAAAATACTTTTTTCAAGACTGAAACAGAAGGGTTGGAGGTTTAAATCAATTGTTTTAATGGCATTATTGCATCTTCTGACAAAATAAGAACATATATTCTGACAACAGAGAAGACCGAGAAAGGGATACCTCTATGAAACGTGGTGGTGCTTACTTTGCTTTTCTACTACTGGCTTCACACTTCAGAATTACTCAAGAAAATATGAAATGGCTCAAATAATAAAAAAAAAGACAACAAAGTATCTTCCATAAAACTTCAACTTATTCAAAGTTTTGTCTTTTGCGATGTCTACATAAAAAATAATTGGGAAACAGTACTGGAATAATTTAACTGTTAGAACTGGATGGGGGCACAAATCTCATCTACTTTACTCTGAACTATTCTGTTACAAACAGCACAAACTGACAAGGTAAAAGCACTGAGGCACATACACAATTACTACAGTTCTACCAGCCCTACAGGTCAACTAACCCAGTGCATCTTCACATCTTAAGACTGATGAAATCTTTATGCACAGGTACACACACCACTTGAATTTCCTAGCCTACATCCTTGGTGAAACTGAACTCTTGACTGCTGTTCGTATGTTACTTGTAGCAAAAATAACAGCATAGGATTAGCAAAGAGAATTTTAAATTAAGGCTTTGTTTGTTAAAAACTGTTCTCCCTCTTCCCTTGCTGACCAATGCTTGTCACCTCCATGGCCAGCAGTCTCACTCGAAATGTCATTTGTGAGCTACCTCTATTAGCACTATGTGAAAATCAGTCTCTAAAGAAAGAAAATGAGTATTATGCTTCCACTTGAAATTCCTCTCCACAATGGCAGCAGAGGCTGACAACAGAAATGACTGTAGAAACAAAGTGATAATGACACCGCTAGAAGGGGGGTGAACTTAAGCCAGCAGAGTACTTCATTATATTGAGTTCACATTCAAGTCAACATGTACAAGCAATGAAGTCTCCCACTCTCTTTTCTTAGAAGCCTACCAGAACTGTAAAGTATGCTCAAGGCTGTACCAATCACACCATAAAGCAGCATTCTTAGTCAATAAGCATACAGAAAAATCACAAGAAGGAAAGTTCTAAAGTTCATCTAGACTAAAATTTCAAATCAAGGTGTTGGTAGTAGCTAATTAATAAAATCTGACACATGTTTTTAAACAACATGCTGGAAAATGACTTAATTTTAAACAGAGCTCTATGTTCCTGCATAGATCTGCCTCTGCAATTGAGGGCATGATGCATGTGTCCCTGAAGACAGGGTAACAACTTAAAACCATGCCAACACAGACACCAACAGCAAGTTTGTGGGGAAAAAAAAAAACAAAAACTCATAACTGTGGTACATAAAAGCAAATTCAAATCTTAAAATTCAACTGCAGATAAATCTAAGCTACATATTTCTTGAAAGCGCTTCAAGGTTTCTGTCAAGAGATGTGCCCAGCTTTATCAGATGCCTTCCAGAATCTCTGAAGTATCATGACCCTGATAAATACTATCATGAATACATACTTGGGCATCATCTCTCTGTTTTACCTCTACTCACAAATGGCATCACAACAGAGGAGGGACCTAAAGAAGCTAGATAACAGACATAATTTTTAGCTGACAGCCCTGAACTTAATCTATTTTAACAAATCTATTTACAGCCATGTTTATACAAAACCCACTTCCTCATCTAGATGCTCTTTTACTAGAGTAACACTATCTGCAAAGGATAAGGTATTCATGCATATTGAGACAGCGTATCTTTCAGGTTATCAGACCAATTGGGTAACAGAATAGAAAAGCAAAGTCTTCGAATGCTATATTGGAACTTTTTCCAGGAACCTCAGTGGGGAGCAGCAACTGCTGCATGAGATAACTTATCAGCTGGCAGTTGCCAGTTGCCAAATACAGAGAGTAGGAAGGAGGAAAAAAAGAAATAGCCCGCTCTTTCTCAGGCAACTGAGCTTTGTTGACCTTTATTTTTAAAGGCTGATGCAGAAAGAGTATATAAATGAACTCCTACTGGACATGATAGTAGTAGAAAATGCTTTTATGAAACACCAATAATAAGAAAAGCAAGTAAAGTAAAAAATAAACATCAAAAGTCGCCATGATTCAGGTTTTGTGGTACATGCTCTGACCTTCAACTAATCTCCGATATATTTATGAACGCACAAAGCCACCTAATTTTACTAGTATCTGTAGAGAACTAATTGAGAATATTACTTTTATGTGAAGTTCTGAAAGAATAGGAAAGCTCATTGAATAATTCTGACCAAAGCCTTAAGTGACAACTTGAAATTGAAGTTCTTCAATATGTTGAATGTGAAAACTGGATAAAGAAAAAAGCACAAAAGCAGCATTCTGGACTTTCAGAAGCATCTCCCTCAAGTTCTTAGGTCTGACTTTTTAATTACTTTTTTTTTTGTATCCAGCTTTTGGAGCAGAATTCATGTGCAACATGCAATAATTAGAGAGGCCTGAACATCATCTTTATTCTGTTTCTTTAAAAAGGTTTTTATTCAGTTTTCTGAGACTTATTTTAAATAAATGAACATAATAAAAAAAAGCCACAACCAGTACGAAAAGCAAGGACTCTAGTCATGATATTTTAATATAAAAAGTTCTGTTCGGTTAACTAAAAGAATTCAATGACAACATCAGTTGGTCGAATGCAATGATTCACATGGTCATACTTAAATCTAATCTAAACCAAAGGTACCATATCTAAATTCCTGACACCAGTAAACACCACCACTATATTTCATCTGTTACTCTTTCAGTATCTCCGGTATCCTCCACCTCCTCTTCCACCATACGGATCTCCATAACCTCCTCTGCCACCATAACCACCCCTGCCACCATAGTCCCCCCTGCCACCTTGGAAACCACCTCCACCTCTTCCACCACCTCTGAAACCCCCACCCCCAAAACCACCCCCACCTCCAAAGCCACCCCCACCTCCAAAGCCACCCCCACCTCC